CACACACTATTATACAGGTAACTCGCATCAGCATGCAGCTGTTACACACACTATTATACAGGTAACTCGCATCAGCATGCAGCTGTTACACACACTATTATACCGGTATCTCGCATCAGCATACAGCTATCACATGCTGTGTTAGACCTAGTGGAAATCAATTGGTTTGTGTGTAGACCCTGGAATTCTCGTTCTCCTGTTTTAAGATCTCTCCATGCCTACCACAATCCACCTGGGTAGTGAAATGTCATTTATTGTGTTTCGGGGTTTGTCTTCAAGCTGGTTTTGTTTTTATGGCAGCGTGGGAGAGGCTCAGAGGTCGGGTGTGGTTTGGGTGGCCCTTGCACTGCCTTGTGGGTAAATGAAATTAAAGAGTAAAAGTGAGCACCTCTCTCCTCTGTTCCAGGGCCGTCATGTCAAGACAGGCCAGCTTGCCGCTATCAAGGTCATGGATGTCACTGGGGTAAGGCCATCCCCTATGACGAACGCACATATACATCATTGAGTGCCCCTTTGACCTCTGACCAACCTGCCTGGTCACACAGGATGAGGAGGAGGAGATCAAACAGGAAATCAACATGCTGAAGAAGTACTCGCACCATCGCAACATCGCCACCTACTACGGGGCCTTCATCAAGAAGAACCCGCCGGGAATTGACGATCAGCTCTGGGTGAGGCACCACTCTTCATCTCCCAGCTCCTTCTCCGTTGCCCTTCATCTCCACACTCATCCTTAGGTTGAGATTGTCTGTCTTCCACTCTATGGATTTCTAACTGATGTTCACCACATCTCCTCTTGTTTGGTCCTCCTGACCCATGGGGCCGGTAAAGAGTAATGTCCTCATTACTGTTTGGAGGGATGTTTCACCCCCGTCTGTGAGCCTGCTCCCTGCCTCTGTACCATGACAGACAACTTCTCAGAAAACATGGAACAACACGATTACGGGCTCAAGCAGAAACCGACACAGACAGTGTGACCGTTATGTAAACCAGTGCGATGTTTATTTACCAGCAATATTCTTGCATAACTTTCAAAATCAAGGCCATTCACCGCTTTAAAAATATATGCATGACATAAGAAGGAATCTGAGGGCAGCTTTAATCTGCCGCTGGTGTGTGTGTTACGTACCTGGGGTGATGATCTCTCCTTTAGTCTTTATACACACACATACACACACACACACACACACACACACACACACACACACACACACAAAATGGATATCGATACCAAATGGACCATTTGTCTCCTTCGTCAGCTGGTGATGGAGTTCTGTGGTGCCGGGTCAGTGACGGATCTCATCAAGAACACCAAGGGAAACTCTTTGAAGGAGGAGTGGACCGCCTACATCTGCAGGGAGATCCTGAGGGTGAGCTTCTTCTCCTGCATTCCCATCTGGCCAAAACCTTATTCCAGATCCACATCTGGGCTGATGATCTTCCCTCCTGCCCACTCTCAGTTCTAATCCACGTCTGCTTAAGTCCTGGTTGTGGTCCTGATCTTCATACTTAACCCATCTGCACCTGCAGGGTCTGACACATCTCCATCAACACAAGGTCATCCATCGAGACATCAAGGGTCAGAATGTCCTGCTAACAGAGAATGCAGAAGTCAAACTTGGTGAGCACAGGTTCTGGAAAATTACGGAAGGAATTTGTGCTAGATAGCTGTATCCTGGTGCTGGGGGGGTCATATGATCTGTAGACATTCCCTATCCTGGCCATGTATAGTCATATGGTCTGTACACATTCTCTACCCTGGTCAGGTATGGTCACTTGGTGTGTAGACATTCTTTGCTTTGGCCAGGTATGGTCACATGGTCTGTAGACATTCTCTACCTTGGCCAGGTATGGTCACATGGTCTGTGCACGTTCTCTACCATGGCCATGTATGGTCACACGGTCTGTAGACATTTTCTACCCTGGTCAGGTAAGGTCACATGGTCTATAGACACTCTCTACCCTGGCCCAGGTATGGTCACATGGTGTGTAGACATTCTCTTCCTTGGCCAGGTATGGTCACCTGGTCTGCCCAGGTCTTGGTAGACATACCTTACTGAACTTTATGCTTTTATTTTCCTTGACCTGCAGTGGATTTTGGTGTGAGCGCGCAGCTGGACCGTACAGTTGGCCGCAGGAACACATTCATCGGCACCCCTTACTGGATGGCGCCGGAAGTCATTGCCTGCGATGAGAACCCTGACGCAACATATGACTTCAAGGTACCACGCCAACCTCAGCCACCACTGAGCACCACAGAGTCTGTGTGCCGCGGGATCCAAGCACTGTGGGCTCTGTGTGCCACAAGGTTCATGGACCCCGGGTTCTGAGCGCCACGGGTTCTATGGTCACTGTCCTCACCCATTACAGGGTCTAGTTTCACATCACACTACCACAAATTGAATGGGGGCTGCAGCTTAAGTAGGACGGTCCATTTTGTAACCTCATTAGCAGCCCATTACTGGTGGGTAAATTCGATAGCAAGACACTGGTGACGAGGTGCTGAGTGGTGCCGTGTCTGTGCTGGCTGAAGGAAGTGGCCAACGGGTGACCTTTGGAACATGGAAAGTGCCGTGTCATTGTGGTGCTGCTGTGATGTGCTGCAGACCTGTAGGTGACACAGCCGCCTTTACGGCTGTCGCTGCACTGCGCGGTCTGCTGTAAAACCTGGTGGATGTTCAATTAAGGATAGCAGTGTCGATTTATGTGGTTCCTTGATATATTGTTTTATTATGCAAAGAACATTACATACTCTTACTGAGAGCCCACAAATTCCATTAGTGTGCAGAGTGTAGAATCCACAGTTGTATGTAGATTCCAGAACTTCACCTGCAGAAATCCACTGCTGGGTGTGCAGACTCCAGAGCTTTACATGAAGGATTCCATAGCTATACTGGAGCAAGCTTGGTTGTATATTGGCCCCAGGGGTCCGTATGTCACCTCTGTGGGGATCCTCCTGGGATCCAGTCCAGTGCTGCTAAGGAATATTACTGTAGCAGGTTCTACGGCATTAATGGGTCGTATGGAATATGGAGCGAAACCTGTTGAATAAGATGCTGGGTTTTCAAGAGACTAAGAAACAGACAATAGCCGTCTACTTCAGGAATGTACTGCTTTCTGTACATTTAAAGTTGAGGCTGTTTTCTTCAGATTATCTTCAGCTCAATCTGGATTTGTTAAAGCAGGGGTGTCAAATTGCAGTCCTGGAGGGCCGGAGCCCTGTGTAGCTTAGTTCTTTCCCTGTTCCACCACAAATGATTCGGCTCAAGAGCAATGTGGTAATTAGCACAAGGAGTTGAATCAGGTGTGTTAAATGAGGGGAAACCCAGAAATGTGCAGGGCTTCAGCCCCCCAGGACTGGAGTTTGACACCCGTGTGTTAAACGATCTGAATCAGAGTAAAATGCCTTGGACAAAAGATACTGAAAGTACTTACAGTCATATTTAAATAGCAATTAGAAAACAGTCAGATATGGAAAAAGTGATCTTTCATTTAGAAGAACGCACACACTCTCCCTCAGACACGCCCACACCTTTAGAAATGTCCAAGTCCCCAAACACACCCACAGTGTCGGACACGCTCACATCCCCAAACACGCCCACAGTGTCGGACACGCTCACATCCCCAAACACGCCCACAGTGTCGGACACGCTCACATCCCCAAACACGCCCACAGTGTCGG